GAGATATTAACATATGTTGCATTGTTCTTGTTTTCTAAACTTGAAATAATATGTTCAGGTTTGCTTCTGTGAATTCATTGTTTTAAAGCCTCCAATGTGTCACCTACACTGAAGGGACTGATTAAGTAAACCTGATTTAGTTTGTAACTAAATTTTTGTGACTGGAGTGTCAGGATGCCTCCCCTGGACCATAGGGTCCATGAACCAGTGGGGTGGTGTATGCTGGAAAAGTCAACATTAATCCTACAAATGAAGAATTATGTCTCCACATTGCCTGAAACATTTGCCAGAGAATCTTGGCCAGATTAGGTGTAGCTGCTTGACTGCTTGAAATGAAAGGGATGATGCTTTTTTTTTTTTTTTTAAATATATCTTTATTGATTTCAGAGAGAGGAAGGAAGAAGGAGAGAGAAACATCAATGATGAAGAGTCATTGATCGGTTGTCTCCTGCATGCCCCCGACTGGGGATCGAGCCTGCAACCCTGGCATGTGCCCTGACCAGGAATCGAACTGTGATCTCCTGGATCCTAGGTGGATGCTCAATTGCTGAGCCACTCCGGCTGGGCAGGATGACACCCTTCTTAACCCTTGGCAGGCAGTTGCACTTAAGAATATCCCTCTTCTGGGGAAAACAATCTTTCACTTCCTCAGAAGGAGAAACTCAGAAATACATTATGATTTTGCTGTCTTCTCTATATTTACCTACATTCTTCCTCCAACACTTTCTATCTCATATTAAGATGGAATTGATAGAGGTGAATATGCCATTACTTTAGGCTTAGCTCATTGCCACCTTTCACAGTTAATGAATTTTTAAAAATTCATTTGTTATTGGGGTAGAATTTGTGTACAGTGAAGTATACAGATTTTAAGTGTTTAGCTCAATGAGTTTTGACATCTGTATAGAGTACTCATTTAACTAACAACCTGAACATTTCCATCACTTCAAAAGGTTTTCTATGCTCTTTTTCAGCCAATCACTCACATCTCACTAGAAATAACCACCTTTCTAATTTTTATTATCATAATTTTACTTGTTTTTGTACTTTTTACAAGTGAAATCATGCAGTATGCAGTCTTTTGTGTCTCTTTTCTTTTACTTAACATAGTATTGACATTTGGTCATGTTATTATGTATATCAGTAGTCTATTTTTTATTGTGATATAGTTCATATTCATATGTGAATATACCACAATTTGTTTTTTCACTTTTCTGCTGATAGACATTTACATTTAAAATAGGAGAAGTAAGAACTCCCTTATAGGGTTCTTGGGAGAGATAAATAATCTAGTATACATTTTAAAATATATTATTACTCTAAAATAATAATTGTATGTTTAGAATGTTGCATATTTTAATTTTACTGTTTGTTTTGCTTTTTCTTGAGACATGTTTTCTGAAATTTCCAACAAGGGTGTGTACTCTTAGTTTCAGATTATGGCGATACCTCGTCTGTGGACTTAGAGGGGGGGAAATATCTAATATAATTAAAAGGAGTTATGGGTACCTGATTCCTTTCCACTTATAGGAAACCTAATCTAGTGATGATGATAATCCTTTCTGATATTTCTCTTTTGTCTGTTTTTTAAAAGGCAAGAACTACTGGACTTCTTTCTAATGCTTTATTCTTCTAGACCTTTCTCATTTGATCTCCTTTTTCTTTGTTGTGGTAGCTACTCTTTGCTGAATGAGTGACCTTTGCTATCCCCAACCCAAATCAATAACCTCTTAAACTGTTTTAATATTTACTAGGGAATTATTTGTCCAGAAGGTTGGATCCAGTGTCCCTGATAGATTTCCAAATAGGCTTTAAATGGTGGTGAGGAGATGGGTTTAAAGTCTGAACTCTTCCTTTGCCCAAATTGTAGCAAGCCAAATAATAACTCTTTCTCTTCATGGATTCAAGAGCACATATCAAAGGTGAACAGAAAGTGTAAATCCTTTTACAACCTTTTTCTTGTTATTGCCCTAGTTCCTCCACAATTTTCATTCTCATTTCTAAACTGAAATCTTTTCGTCCTCAAGTTTAGTTACTTTTTTGGCTCTTGTGTTTACTCTACTGAAACTCTTTGAGAACAATTATTTGATTTTATTTACCTTAGTTTCAGATTTTAACATCAAGCCAAGTACCTTGTATTTACTTCATAAATGGCTATTATAGTAAATTTATTATAGTCAAGTGCTGATATTGTACCACAGACAGTGTCATACATGTAACAGACAGGCAATACTTGTTCATGGTTTATTGATAGCAGGAACTCAGTCTTTATTTATTCATTAATTAGTTAAGTGAGTACATTTTATCACTGAGCATCGGAAGAGTCAGGTGCTCCTCTTTTCAAAAGCATGTTAGAACTGTTCATCTGGAACTCTGTAGAGCAAATTATTTAAATTATAGCTGTACTTTTTCTGTAATGTTATCCATAAGATTTGGGCCATATCACCTCATAATAAATGAAAAGAGTCGTTTAAATGCTTGTAGTACTAAACTCTCATGGCAAGAACTCCAAACAGACTTGTCTCAAATTCTGTCCTATTCCAGTTAGCGCTGCAGCCAGGTTCCCATGTACTTGAACAAAATAGGTGAACAAATACAGTTTCCAAAAGATACAGACATGAAAATGAAGTGCTAATGTCTTCTGACTCTAGATTTTCCATTACTCCTACTGATATTCTTATGGAGAAATTGGTTTTGGGCCTGTGATTAATTCCTCTTTCCTAGAGCAAACTGCTAAGGCTTACTTCCTTTTTTGGTAGACCTTGGGCTTGTCAGTCAAATCCGAGGCAGCTAGTTCTGGGCAAAGGAGGTGACATTAGGAGCAAAAAGAAAAAAGGTAGCGTACTACACATAGCAGGTGGGAAAGGTGCGGGAAGTAACAGAGACGGAAAACATAAACCCTTAAACATTTTTAGATAAACCACAGGAGCTAGATGCATAAACGTAGTGGGGTTAGGAAGCTTGGAAACAGCCACCGTGCAGATAGTGATGTTAGGACAGCTGTGCCTTCCTAGGCATTCCCGAAATGTCCTGTAAAGATCACACCAAACACTGTGCAGTGAACTGAACTATGTAATCTCCACTTCCATTCTGGATTCTGAACATGAGGGGACAGACTGAGGAAGCAAGTTGCCTGGCATCCCAGATTTGGAATAATATTGGTGACCTTTACTAAACGTTTACATTGTGTCAAAGCCGGCCTTTGCCTTGCACGGGGGCAGGTCAAGGGAACACAGTGCTACCAATGACTGCGAATCAGTATCTCCCCCCCCCCGGAGATTTAAATTTTCTATGAAGCTTCGAATGTTTTCAAGAGTCCACACGAAGACCTTTTTGCATCGTTCGCAGCTGAGTGAGTTAAGCGCCGCGGCCTGCCCTCCCACTGCCCCCGGCCCCGGGGTGCAGGGTCCC